AAACCACGCCCACCACACCACGCCCACAGAACCAGTAGTAAAAAATTTTGAATCCCACCATTGGTCCATGGAATTTAACAAATAGTGGCCCATTCATCAAATGATGGCTCAATGTAATATCTCAGTCACTTAGTTTATGTCAAACCAGTTCATTGGCCTGCAAATGTTTCTTGTAGAGCCATCTGTACATAAGCAGATGGAGAGACAAATATAGACGGGCTTTCAAAGTTTGCAATCCTTATAGCTTACCCAATTGAACCTAATACTTCTTACTTCTAAATAGATATACATAGAATTGTATTGTTCATTGTATTTGGTAGTGTAGAAGATTGTTTGCATGGTTGATCTGAGCATCAGCTGGTTTAGAACAAATGTGATACTTTATCAAAACCACTTATTGCAGTGATTAACTCGTGTGTATTACTAAATTCACAACCAAAAAGGCCTAACATATGGCTGTCTAAAGAAATAAAAAGGAAAAAAGTAATCACCCGGATAATATTTTTAGAAAAAAGAGAAGCCTCTTATTGCAGGGGAAACATGCCTGTATGACAGATGCTTTGGCCTAAATGTCATTAGAAGTTTTTGTAGAATCCATCATTTTTGTCAAAAAGCAATATTGTGCCAACATGATGCAAGTTGTTGTGTACATCACCTGTCATCTCACAGACACTATTAGATGTTAAAAAAAGAAAAACATTGAAACTGAGCCAAACCAAGGAAATCTAGATTTTGATAATTTGGGGCAAAATTTAACATTCCTTGAGTTTGGGCATTTATATAAAAAATAATAAATCTGTGCTTTTGTTCAATCCTTAATTATTGTTTCTTCTTCATAATTTATCTTGTTAATATATATGGCATTAATTCTTGAAATGCTTCTTTGTGCTTCATACTACTGAAATGAGAAATGTCGTCTCTCTCAAATAATCTGCATATAGCATTTATAATTTCCTAAAATAAGAGCAGCAATGATCTTGCAGTCCTAATCTCTGCTTGCTGTTGCTCAAAAGGTCACAGCTATGGTTAGCTACAATCCTCATTAACTTTGAAAGTGGAGAGAGATTGGGGGAAATGAGAAATATCATTACTACTCTTATCAACGGAGCATGGAACAACTTATGCAATTGGGTTCTTAATGCCACAATTTTCACTTCCAAATTGTCTAGAAGCAGATTAAAAGAAAGCTGGGTTTAATCTTCATTGCTTTGCAATCGATCTTACAGGAACAAAAATGTTCTCACTCTATGCGAAAGGGAGGGAAAAAAATATTTAGAAATCAAGTTGACTTGCACTTTGCAATTGGCTCCACCGTGCTACCATTTCCCCCAAAGGACCTGAATTTCAGGAGTCAGAAAGGGTTACTTACTGAGGCAAGAGGAAAGATAGGCAGCCACCTCCCCCACTCCAAAAAAGAAAACTGTTTGCTTCACAAGCATTTTAACTATATATCCTGCAGCCAAGCAAGAAGTAGATATCTTCAGCTGTCAGGCATTGTATCAGTACAGAATTTACTTTCAGGCTGGCTCAGAATCCTCATGTGACCATCGGTCAAGGGTGTGTGTAACTAGCAGTGAACTTGTTGATGTGCGAATGAGTGTTTGCAACAGCAGCACATGAACCCTTCTGCCCTTATGTCACCCAAACTGGAATCACATACCGCTGCCATTCAGAAAGCGCACACAAGATAAACTGAATAGAGAATTGGACACTATGTAATGTGTTATTTAAAGTTCAAAGAGCCAAGGGAAAGCTTCAGCCAGTCAAAATTGTAATAAAAAATGCTACCGCTGTCTAAATAAGACAGATATACATGCTTGATGTTCCACCAGCCTTACCCATTGTTATTTAGATCTGCATCATTGCCCATGTGGTCTTGTTCTGTCGCATCAAGAGACGTGTGCTATGGCCCAACCCTATGATATATAAAGGACAAAGTCCCATTAACTACCTATTTAGATATATTCCAAATTACTTTTATGTTTACATTTTTTCCCCTTGCTCCAAATTAGAGCTGAATTTGGCTTCTAAATATTGTAGACTGCAAAATATCTGTAAGAAGGAATATTAGTCCCTATTTAAGAGATGGTGTGATCTAGTGATTTAAGGCAGTGGTCCCCAACATTTTGGGCACCAGAGACTGGTTCCATGGAGAGAGGTTGTTACGTGGACCGGAGGTTTGCATGCTGCCTGCATCCCGCAGATGAAGTTGCCAGTTCATAGACCAGGAGTTGGGGACCCCTGGTTTAAGGCACCAGTCTAAGAGTCAGCAAACATGAGTTCTAATCCCTCAACCCAGCTGGGGAATTCAGGGAGTTGAAGTTGCCAAGATTGAGAAACACTGCTGCAAGTTCCCTATTTCCTTTCAAACAAGACTACTTGTGGCAAGACCACCACATGTAACACTTTCCAAGGAGATAAATATCTGCATAAGCAACTTCATCGGGAACCCTGGTGGCCCAGTGGTTAAAGTGCAGTATTGCAGTCAAACTCTGCTCACAGCCTAGAGTTTGATCCTGATGGGGCTCAAGGTTGACTCAGCCTTCCATCCTTCTGAGGTTGGTAAAATGAGGATCCAGATTGTTCGGGGCAATATGCAAACAATACTTTATTGTAAATTGTTCAGAGAGTGCTGTAACACATTATGGGAGCAGTGATGGGTTTCAAATTTTTTTACCACCGGTTCTGTGGGTGTGGCTTGGTGGGCACGCTTTGTGCACGCCCAAGCACTTTGTGCGCGTGTGCGTAGAGGGTTTCCTACTAACCTTCTTCTGCAATCCTGCACTCTCCCTGTGTCTTCAACAGCTGACGTGTGGCAATCAGCTGAGGCTGAAAAGCAGGAAATAAAGGACAGTATAGAGCCTGGGTGGGAGAGCCTAGCAGCTGATCATTGGAGTGAACCAGTTCGCTCACGCATGATCGTCGGAGCTAACGCTTCAGCCAAACTGGGCCAAACCGGTAGAATACCACCACTGTATGGGAGAGTATATAAGTCTAATTGCTATTGCTATTCAAGCCCATGAATTTCTTAGAATGATCACAGAATTTAAGAATATCCTTCACAGCAATGCTGCTTTACTGACTACATTTCAGAATTTGGAAAACAGAGATAAATCAATAAAAGGTCTGCTTGGGATGAATGAATCTCCTCTTTTAACCAATGTAATGGCAGCGTTCCAAATGCTCCTCTTGAGCATTGTTGATTGGTTGGATGTGCTCTGAAATGTAGGACCAGTATCTCTCTCCCTGTCTGATATATGATGCCATTGACTTGGAGGATTCTTAAAAAGAGATACGAGGAGCAGAGTGTTCTGGCCCGAGAACCCAAAATTTATTGAGCAATAACTCCTATCATCCCAGCCTGTCCAATGTTCAGGTGAGAGCAGAGTTGTAATCACTGTATGGGCAGACTTCATTTCCCAGTCAGTGACAACCCCAACTTTCCTGGTCCTTTAAATCACTTTACCTACATTGCCTCTTCTTTGACAGCTGGAGATGTAGAAGCTGACATGAGGTGCCCAGTATTGACTTTGAACTACCTCCTCCCTCCAATATCACCAATCTCCACTTTCCTTCTTGTTCCATAAGGATTGACATACACATATACTCTAGAAACATTCCGGCAATTTTAATGCAACATGTATACAATTTCATAGACTGATTTAGATGCCTTTACGATTTCTTCATTAATATATCCGATTATTTTCAGCCTTTTCTCTTTTCCCAGAAACATAAATTATGTACCTTCTTGCTCAATTTTTTTTTTAAAAGTGGCAACATCAAAAGTATCCTGGAGTTGTAGTTGTAGTTGTTCCTAGTAAAGATAGTTTGCAGGAAATTCTCGTGAAGTTGTAGTGTTTATAAAACCCTGTTTTGTAATGTGGTATATATTGTATATTAACAGCAAAGCAAAAGCCTTCTCTGGACCCGTTTTAAGAGACGAGGTATTGCAAAATAAGCGAACAGACCATCTTGCAGCTGGAGAGAAATAGTCAAAACTGTGAATGGTGAGCAGGCCAGTGCCTGTGCTAAAAAAAGAAGGCCTTTATTTCCAAATAAAGAGAAGAGCAACAAAGATGATTATGGGATTGGAGGCTAAAATATATGATGAATGGTTGCAGGAATTGGGCATGGCTAGTTTAATGAAAATAAAGACTAGGGGTGATATGATAGCAGTGTTCCATATCTCAGGGGCTGCCACAAAGAAGAGGGAGTCAAGCTATTCTCCAAAGCGCCTGAAGGCAGGACAAGTAGCAATGGATGGAAACTAATCAAGGAGAGAAGCAACCTAGAACTGAGGAGAAACTTCATAATGGTGAAAACAATTAACCAGCAAAACAATTTGCCTCCAGAAGTTGTGGATGCTCCAACACTGGAAGTTTTAAGAAGAGATTAGACAACCATTTGTCTGAAATGGTATATTAAGCAGGGTTTCCTACCTAAGCAGGGGGTTGGACTAGAAGACCTCCAAGGTCCCTCCGAACTGTGTTATTCTGTAAAGTATTGAAGGTTACATCATAATTTATCATTGCATAGATCAACCCATTACCAGAAATTTTCCCTACCAAACCTGCTGATGTTTTGTATGAGCTCATTGAGGGAAACAGCATAAGGGTCCAATGCATGGAGAGCAACGTTTAAAAAAAATCATGACATTAGATAGTCTTGAACAATGCAAGGATATAAAACCAGAATTCACACCTTGATTTTTTAAAAAAATATCTTTCTTCTTCTGGTCAATATTCTGGCTGATTTAGGAAAGAAAGAATTGGTGAGTTTCAGAAGGCAAGTCTTTAAATTTATTTCTCAGGGGCTCCTTAACAAAGCCGGAGTGAGTGTGCAGTGCAAAGAGATAAAGGGACGGTTGTATATTCCAAAAGCTAAGGATGTACAGTGAGAGGAGAAGGGACCCAAATTAAGCCCCAGAGATACTCAGGTCTGTCTCCAGATACTCAGCAGATGGAAAAACTCACTTGGAGATTCTTTTATTTCTTTCTCAGAACTGGTCTGGAATGAAGTGTCAATTCAAGCTGCTACGCATGGCTGTTGCCTTGATCTGCAGTAAGTATCCTCCTTAAATGATTTTCATTAGTGCACCTGCTATGCCTAAAGATATTCTTGATCTCATTTATTTTTCAGGTTAGTAGCCCAGAGATAATAGTGGCAAGTTAGGAAAATCCATCTTGGGACTGTTCCCCTACAGAACTGCTCCCTTTGCTTTCTAAATCTGCAGAAGATGCGTGAATCACACATACATATGGGACCAGAGTGGATTGTACAACAATTAATTCGGATAGTACTAATGAACAATGAGTAGATCAATCTTTCTTTGGTTTGTGTCTTGGGCTTTTTTTTTTCCTCTTGGGAAAAAAACAGAGAAAGAAACCAGGAATAAACTATGTTTTCTTGGAAATATAAGAGTAAGTTGGAATTCCTGATTAGCTAAGCTAGCGGTGGCCCCTTGTGAAGGCTTCAGAAAGCAGAAGTCTCCTTCCCTGACCTTGCTGGCCTTCAGGAAGGAAATTAAGACCTGGTTTTTCCAGCAGGCTCTGAGTCAGACATATTTAGGGCAGGGGTCTTCAAACTTGACAGCCTTAAGACTTGTGGACTTCAACTCCTAGAATCCATCCTCCAGTCATGTTAGCTCAGGAATTCTGGGAGTTGACATTCACAAGTCTTAACCTTACCAAGTTTGAAGACCCTTGCTTTAGGCAGATGTTTGTCCTCCTAGCTTGATGTTTGGCTCCCAGACATTTTGCTACTGAACTAGGTAACATCTTCAGCGGGGTTTTATGTGTGCCCATTAGTGGTTCTACAATAATATATCTTATCATGTTAAATGCAATCATACGTTTGTGTTTCTCGAAGCCAAAATGAAGGATACGGACCTGTTCCTTAGTTTTTCCCACTTTAAAGGCTTGCTTGCACTTTCCTGATAGTTCAGTAGAGAAGTTGGTCTAAACAGCAGTGGGCTTAAGTGGAAAATAAGAGAACCTCCATAAGGTTCTGGAGAGGCTGCCTAGTCTTTTCCTAATCTATCGGTTTAATCTGAATCACCACCTGTGTTCCCGTAGTCTTTGGCAACAGAGATTATAGCTGAACCCTAATATGATTTTCCATCCCATTCCCATTATGGTAATAGGACTAGGTACAAAAAGAGAAAGAGGCAGTTGATTTTTTCAGGGGGAAAATGGGATGGGGGAATGAAAAGAAGGTTCATAGAGAAGGCTTTTCTTTTTGTGTGTGTGTGTCAGTAATGGGAAAAAGACTTGTCCCGAAAGGAACGTTTATTTAAAAAGATAACGTTAACATGGACTTCTTTTCAAGTCATTGGGTTTTTATTTCTTTTCCTGCTGTACATTTTAAATATATATTTTAAAACTGCATATAAAGTGCATTTTGCACGTTGTGAAATCTGGACAGTCTGTCTGGCTTAAAAGTGATCCAGAATGGTGGAGGATCTATCTTTCTACATGGCCAGAAATTCTTGCCAAATAAGCTGTTCTGTGCATTGAAAAGGCTGCTCAAAATGGTGTGGAAAAATGCTGCATCGCAGCATAATAGCATAGGATTATATGGGACAATGAATGGACAATGCAGTGCAATTTCTGATGAATGGTGGTTATGTGTGACATACTGCTTCATTTCTCTTTCAGTGAGCTTTGAATTTGGAAGAGCTGTATGGCTGAGATTCTACCCATCTGCTTATCCTCCATGTCCTCATCCTAGTTTCGTTGCTCACCTAGGTGGGGTGGGTGTTGGAATCACCCTTGGTGTGGTTATTCTAAGGAACTATGAGCAGAGACTTCAAGATCAATCAGTATGGTGGATCTTCGTTTCCATGTATGTGGTGTTTGTTCTCTTTGCCATCTTCTGGAACATTTTTGCCTACAGCCTGTTGGATCTAAAACTACCTCCACTTCCTTAAGAACTTGGGCTAAAAAAACAGACAAAGAAGTGACTTCCCATCTTTCAGCTTCATGGGCAAAAAAAAAAAATGAAACTAGAGGATTTATTTTTTTATGAATGTGACAGGAGGGGAATGTATCCAAGTTCTGGAATGACATGCACTGAGGGAGAACTGTATGTGCTGATGGGAAATGATTAAGGACGATTCCATGGATCCTTGCTTGGAAGATGTTTGGGCGTGGAGATTTACAGGTACCATGATCTTTATGAGCCACACCTTGTGCCCTTTGCTCATGTAACCAGTTTGTACTTCAAAGGAAGATTCAGCCCCCTGGATGCTTAGCCCAATACATATGGGTGAAATGTTCATGCACCCAGTGAAGGCTCATCTGGATGGTTTTGTCTTTTTCAGCATTCACAGTTAGAAACTTTAGAAGAGCTTTCCTTAGCTGATGTCCTCCAGATGTGTTGTGCTATAAACCCATCACTTTGGTTCAAGATGATGGAAGCTGTAATCTATTACATTTGATTACGCCAGACAATCTTCAGTCCATTTGGAAAATACATTCCTTTCTTTAGTAGATGGGTTGTAACGCGGGATAAAAGAAAGGCTTGGAGACCGCATATGACATGCCAGCCCGGTATTCACTTTATAGCTCTATAGAGCCACAAAGTCTCTAAGTCCAAATATTTTAGCCTTTCCCCCATTTTTCGAGTTTTCTGGACAATTAAGAGGGAAAAATAAATGGAGGATTCTGATTTTAGATGTTCACTCATGACCACTTGCAGAGACTGGTTTTCAGCTAAAGAATTAACCAAATCACACTGAAATATTTGAAGGTGCTTTAGTCTGCTTATAAAATTCAGCTGCAAATTTCATTGTTTTTTTATTGTTTGTGGCTGGGTTTTTAGTCATCACAGACTACTTGAAGCTGTTGAATCTTATAATAACTATATTATTTCCTTTGGGGCTTTGGTCCTTCTGTTCATTTTAAAGCAGAATCTGCTCCTTGGAGAGGAGAACTTATATTGTACTTTTTAAAAAGAGTTCTTCCAGAATTTCACAAAACAGTAAATGACGTAATAGATATTCTTGATGTTTAGCTGCCTTTAACAAGCTCTGCTGCAGTCTTCTGTATTTGCAAGATCTTGATCTACCAATTTTGGAAGAAGTAGATGTGCTCCCCGAACAAAACATTCTACCAAGTTTGGTTTGCAAAATACAGATTTGTCCTTTTGCCTATTGTGAATGCAATAGCAAAATTGTAATGATGTTTTGTTAATTGTTCACATATATTTTATTCTCAACCTGGCTAAATATGTTGGGATTCAGCAGGACCAAAGGAATTCTGGGAACTGAAGTCTAAGTCTGGTATGTTTAATCTACGCACAGCTGAAAATGCTGGCCAGGTAGAGGTGGTTTTAAAAAGTCGATATGGAGGGGCCAGCTGCATGATCGAAGCCCTGCCTCCTTTTTACATGCAGCAATGCACATTAAAAACAGGCAGTGTTTCTGTTGAGTTGTCATACCTATCACATTGACATTTTACACTTGCCCTGTCAACATCTGTGGAAAAAGTTGAAGTATCTGGTTTATTCAGGGCTACCAAATTTAGGCTGAGAAATCCAGATAACCAGATGGCAGTAAGGAGATCCAGAGAACTTTTAATTACCTGCTATTGTTTAGGAGTCCACCTGGAATTCTGAGTGTTGTGGTCTCATTAGAGTGGAGGACATGAGACTGGGGAGAATTGCTTTAATGGATCAGGGATGTGTTTAACAGTAGTACCTCAACAGGTGTGCAAGCCTGAGTGAATTATTTATGCAATCTCATGGGATGCACTTCTTTGGACAGGAGGGGGAGGTTTCATGTGGGAAAAAAATATCTCTGTGGATTTAAAATAATTAAATCTACATAGCTGCCAGGAAGCAAATAATAGTAGAACTGGAAGGACATTTGTTTGTTTGTTTGTTTGTTTAGTCTAGAAAAATATCAGCTGGGATCGCGCCACACACTGGCCTAGATTAAGTAAGATGAGGATCTTTGAAGTTCAGTATGTAATGAAATCACTAGCATGTTGTGTGATTCTGAGGGTCACGCTCCGTCTTATTCAGGTCTTCAGGCATAGCCTGTTGTGATAGCACAGCAGTCCTATTTTGTTAATTTGGAGTTTGGGGTTGATGCTCAGGAGTTTGCAAACACCTTAGAGAGGGCAATTCCTGTTTTTGAAAACCTAATGAGCCTTGTACAGGCGAAGCAGAAACACCAGAATTTTCCTGGACTTTGCTACTGATTTAGACTGTTTCAGTTTCAGTGGACAGTTGTGGTGTCACAAAATTTGTGAACTCCAATGAAAATATACATTAAAATTCAATTATTAAAACATTTAATTTCTTGTCCAACCCTAACTCCAATCATTTGGGAAAGTGTCACACACATTTATGGATTATTTTAGGTCTTATTATTTAAAAAACAGGTTGAGGGTCCCTGGTTTAGCCTATTGTATGAACCCAACCCATTTAGTGACATGGGTTGCCGGTTGCCAGCTCTAGATTTCAGGGACAGCCCTGCTTTGGCATCTTTTTGAAATCTTGGCTTGCAGGATGCTTCAACTGTGAGACAATACCTAACAGCTGAAGATCTTTGGCAACAAATTGTAGAATTGCAGCCATCTGCAGCAGGCATGATTACGTGAGAATAATGGAACTTGCATGGTGATATCATGATGCAAACCTCATCATTACATATTTATGTCCTAATGCCTAATGCAAATATATAAGTCATGTGACAGGATGCACATTTTATCATTTGTCCCTCTTTGATCCTCCCCCTCCTTTTCAGATTGTATCTTTGGATTCTAGCAAAGCAACCTGGAAATGCGAGCCCTACATGGCACCTGACCCTGAAACTACGAATGCATATTTCAATAAGATCCAGAGACCATCTCACACAATACGTAGACAGGTAGTCCTCAACATACGACCACAACCGAGCCCAAAATTTCTGTTGCTAAGTGAGATAGTTGTTAGGTGAGTTTTGCCCCATTTTACGATCTTTCTTGCCATAGTGTTAAGTGAAACATTGCAGTTGTTAAGTTAGTAACATGTTAGTAACATGTGTTGTTAAGTAAATCTGGCTTCCCCATAACTGTGTTTGTCAGAAGGTCATAAAAGTGATCACATGACCCTGGGACACTGCAATTCTTATAAATATGAACCAGTTGCCAAGCAGCTGAATTTTGATCACCTGTCCATGGGGATGCTGCAACGGTCATAAGTGTGAAAAATGATCAAAAGTCACTTTTTTCGGTACCATTGTAACTTTGAATGGTCACTAAACGAACTGTTGTAAGTCAAGACTAACCGTTGCAAACCACGGTATAGTATGTTGTGTGCCAGCTAATTCTGGATGCCCAGCCAGTACATTTGTACAACAGGTGATTGTTGGAGTCACACTCTGCAACTTTGGCAAAAAGTGAAAGGTATCCTAGATACATATTTAAAATTGTAAAGTGTAAAAAGATGAGATTAATTTCTGGACCGGCAGCATATTAATCTTAAATGAGTTTTCCTTGCAAATCCCAATTTGATGTTTCTATTTGTAGAAGCTGAAAGCATTTGATGATGTCCATGCAAAGTATACAGTTAGTCCTTGACTCAGGGGTGGGATTCTACCGGTTCTGTCCACCTCTGTAGAACCGGTAGCTCTGAAGAGCAGCAGACATAGAACCGGTTCTATGTCTGCTGCTGTTTTAGCCCACCCGCCTGCCCAGGCTCTTACCTTTATTTCCTGCCTTTTCAACCTCAGCAGCCGTGTGAGGGCACAGCTGCAGTTGAAAAAGCAGGAAAAAAGTGCTTTTTCAAATGCTGCTTCCCTGCACGCAGTGCTGCTCAGCTGTCCAGGTAGCAAGCTGACGAAGATTTACACACCCGCGCAGCGTGCAGGGAAGCACATCGTAAATCACCGAATCAGTAGTTAACCCTGTCGGATGCCATCTCTGCCTTAACTCACAATAGTTCATTTAATGATTGTTTGAAGCAGTGGTGAAATGCTACCGGTTCAGCCTGAACTGGTAGCAAAAATGGCTACCGATTCAGCCTAACCAGTAATTTAAAAAAGCTCTGACGATCAGCTGAGAGGAGAAAGAAGAGAAAAATGCGGGATCGGCCCTCCCACCCAGCCCTGCACTTTTCTGTTCTTTATCCTCTCAGCTGATTGGCGTGGCAGAGCCTCAGCTGCTGTTTGGAAAGCTCTGTGTGTGTGTGTGTGTGTGTACACCCGCGCATGCGCAAAGTGCATGATCACCGAACCGGTAGGGAAACTGGTAGAATCCCACCACTGGTTTGAAGTTACAACAACACTGAATAAAATGACTTATGACCACTTTTCACTTATGACTGTTGCACCATCCCCATGGTCACATGATCAAAATTCGAATGCTGGTTGGTTGCAGTGTCCTGGGGGTGTCATGGGACCATCTTTTGCAACCTTCTGACAAGCAAAGTCAATGGGGAAGTCGGATTCATTTAGCAACTGAACGACAGCAAGGATTCACTTAACCGTCTCACTTAGCAACACCAAATTTGGGCTCGATTGTGGTTATAAGTAGAGGACCACCTGTAGAGAAAAAGAATGAGATAAGGCTGCAAAATATTATTGATCATTATTCTAGTAAGCACATTCCAGAAATTTGCAAATTCTTGCCTTACTGCACTGAAAACATGCTGGAAAAATTTGAACCATCAGCACAAGTATGTACAATCCCGGGTGGAGACAAATGCTTCTAAAAGCTACCAGTATTTCATCGAGGGACAAAACATATTTCTCTTGTTCTAAAATTATTTTGTCACCTTTTTCTATTGATTTCTTCACCCGCTATGACTTGCCTCATAACTTAGCTTGGAATCGACTACAAAATTACCATTGTTTATCATCCAGGAAGAAAAGAGACATGTTTCCTGAATGTTCCACTGCTGGCTTCTCTTGTTAATTTGTACATTCTGCTTGGACCATTTACACAGGTCTCAAATGTATTGCAAATTTTAGTCTTCAGGCATCATTGTGGCACAGAAAGGTTTGAAACGCCAAGCATCTGCTTCCCCAAACAGGAAGGCCTTTAAGAGAGGGATCAGAGTATCAAAAAGGTTTGCAAAAATGATTAAAAGGGAAAAGGTCATTAAACAAAACAAAAGCTTGTCAGGATGACTGTTAATATTACAGCAGTATCATTTTAACGTTAAAGAGCTTTTGCAAATGCATGAGTCGAATCGTTGACTTTGGGAGCTTGTTGACACTTCGGTGTGCAGATTTTTCTACATCTCTTGTAAGCCAGAGAAGACTGTTTTGTAGAAAACGCCACAGAATCCAAAATATTTTGGAATACATAACGTCTGCAGCAACACTTCCCTTTTAATGAGAGATAACAGCGACTTGTTCAGACATTCAGGTGAGTGGATAGAGAATTTGAAACTGGGAAGAAACTGTGATAGGAAGCATTAACTGGCCTCCCTGATTTCCATGTATTCACTTGAAAGTCTGAACATCAGCTCTGCTTACATTCACGTGTAGCTTCTCTCCACATATAGCAGTTTGCAGCATACTTATTGCATGCTACCCAACTATGTGGTAGCATGTGTCTGATCTTGGAAGATCTCAAAAAATTTGTAAGCTCAGACCTGGTTAGTACTGGAACAGGATATTGGCAGGAGATAACAAGGTTGTAGGTCATTCTGTGCACCTAAAAACAATAACAGTCCCTCTTTTGAAGAGGACAATAGCAAACCACTTCAAGGTCAATATGGAAGGATCCATAAGTCACCAAGGGTCAATATGGAAGGATCCATAAGTCACCAAGCAGTCAACCCAATTCAAATCTGGCTTTATGTTTCCTTACTTGGATCTACAAAAGTGAAGTAAATGTGATGCACACGGTCTCCCTGTAGGAAAACAGCATCCTGTCAAATCTAGAACTAACAAACCTAGAACTAAGATGAAAATTCCCGACAGAACAATTAACTAGTGGAACAACTTGCCTCCAGTAGTTGTGAATTCTCAAACACTGGAAGTTTTTAAGAAGAGTTTGAACCACCATTTGTCTGAAATGGTATAGAGTTTCCTGCAGGGGTTTGGACTAGAAGACCTCCAAGGTCCCTTCCAATTCTTTATTCTATTCTATTCTATTCTATTCTATTCTATTCTATTCTATTCTATTCTATTCTATTCTATTCTATTCTATTCTA